TGTGTGATTTCAGTTGCACACATCATGGTGCGCAGTTGCACAGAACATGCTACCCAGTTGCGCACGCTATGTTATTTTGAGCATCAAGATAAATCAACTAACTGGTTTTTCCTGTTCTGACTATAGTTGATGGCAACCCTCGAGGATCTCCTCCACCTCCAGGCCGTACACAGCATGGTCCTCCACCTCCTTCCCTGCCTGGCCCAACAAGTAGTGCCCTGCGTGCTCCTTCCAATGGCATTACAGGGAGTACTCAGAGGGCTCGTCATCCAGGTAATTACCTGCCCCAACTCCCCAAGCAAGTGTGTGTGTAATTTTAGTTCCGCACATCATGGTGCCCAGTTGCTGTCAGAATAGGCTACCCAGTTGCGCGCGCTCTATTAGTTCAAGCATCAAGACAAACAAACTAACTTGCTTTTTCCTGTTCTAGCTACAGGTGATTATCAACCAAGTGGCATGACGGGCCGTGCTACTATAGGTTTTATTTTTAACTTAATTTGCACACAACAACCAATTAGTTGCACAACATAAGTTGTGTGGTTGCAGAGAACATCAGTCGTGGTTGCGCGAAAAAAAACTAAACTTTTTATACGATTATTCCACAGGTGATCAAACACAAGCTCGTGATGGCCCTACCCAGTTGGAGGCTCCATCCCCAGCACAAGCCTATGATGATTTTGTGCCTAGGGATCCTTCAAGGTCTACTATAAAGGGTAGGGCGAAGAGTCGATGATACAAATCGGCGCTGGAGCTACACCCAAAGAAGAAAAAGAAATGCAGCCACTGCCAATCTACAGAGCACATTGCTGGTGTGTGTCCACTCACGCTGCTGTGATTCTCTTGTATCATTTGTATCAAAAAAGGGAAAAAGGAAAAGAATGATGGTTTTTGAGCAATTTAGGGGGCAAAAAGTGGACACATACAACAACTATGCTTTCTCCTCTCTAAGTTGTTTTCCTTGAATTAGTTAATGCACTGTGTAAAAATGGTTGCTATTTGTGCCTTTGTTGGCAAATCATCTAATATTTAGTTGTCGAACAATTATATGCCCAGTTCTCGTAATGTGTGAAAAAAAGTGATGGCATTGAGTTGCAAAAGAAATACTACTAGTATGCAACTACAAAATGTTTATAAAAATTGTGCAAACCTGCAAGGCATCGAAAAAATGGCAAAAGAATAAAAAAAAGTGTACTGACCTAGTACTTTTCGTATCTCGGCACCTTCCTCCATGGGGCAGAGTTGTGCGGGCTGGTGACCCAATCATATGCCAGCTTCTTCCTGAGGTTGAGATCTTCCTTGGCCTCATAGTTGGGCAGTAGGCTCCCGTTCCACTCAGTGGCGTTAAGCAGTGCGAACAGACCACACTCATTGTTGCAGTGGGGAAAAGGAAAAAAATGTTGGAGGCTTTTAAAACCAATAAGACAATATACTTTGTGGCACTGTGCAACTAATTATGTGTTAATGTGCAACTACTTATGTGGCATTGTGCAACTACTGATGTTCAACTGAGAAAGTCATAAAAATAAAAAACAGACTGCAAACTAGTTTTGTGTCTTGAAAAACTAAAGATTGTACAAGTAGGAAATTTTAAAAGACTACAGATTGATCGAAAAAAATGAAGAAGAATATAATGCTTCTTGTCTTACTTGCTAATCTGCTTCGGCACGTCGATGTCAATAATCTGGAAGTGCTCGATGCTCTGCTTTGGGTAATGCTTCCTCCATAGCTGGCATACTGCCCCCACAATCGTAGAGGCGGTGTCCATCAAATCGACGTCTTCTAGCTTTCTGTTTGAATCAAGGACTTCGAAACGTCCGTCCCTCAGGTTGATGTTGAAGACCCAATAATGCCTGCCTCCTTCGCGGTTGTTTACATTATCGCAATCAAGCACTGGCAGCATGACCTGCACGCGTGAACGATTCAGATACAGATACACACTGTAGGTAAGAAAAAATACTACAAAAATGAGATGTGAAAGTTGAAACAGGTTGGTAGAAGGTATTTGCCAACTAATAGATGTGTCATGTGCGATGAACGTGTTGTGAGTGCCAAATATGAGATGGATCATGCGGGCAGAGCACTCACCAAATCTTTCTTGTCGAGACGGTTCTTGTGTTCAAACTTCTTGTTTATCTCATTCGTATTGTGGATACCCTGCTGTAAATTGATCTGCAAAAAAATTATAAACATGCCTCAAGTACTCACTACAAAAAAAATACACTTCTGTGATGATACGTGTTTGTCAGAGTAGGTTGCATTTTTTGTCATGCATGTAGATCCATGACGATTTTATGACAAAATCAAGATAATCATACATGTGCTGCCGTAGAAGTGTTCCATGATATTACCAAAATTATCATCACGGAAGTGTCCACTTCCATGACGATAAATCGCGCTTCACAGAAGTGCTTTCATCAAGGGTGACCGACACGTAGCATCCACCATAACGGAACGCCATTAAGCTATCGGGTCGGGTTTTGGATCCGATAACCCGTTAACAGCCCCGACCAATGGGAAATTTCCACGTGTAAAATTCTTATTGGCCGGACGAAACACGTGTCAGCTCATCAGTGGGTCAGATAGGCGCCTATGATATGTCGACACGTGCCACGGCCCACCACTGGCCCATTTAGCTTACAAAACGGTATGTTTGACTTGGTCAAAAGTTAACGGGCTGGCCCATGAAAAGCCTGTTAACGGTCTCGGCCACCGTATTTCGTGAAAAAAAGTTTCCCCCTGACTGCTGGGACCCACCAGCTACATCTTCGCACGCAAGGAAGTGCGTCCGGGCAAAAAAAACGATTCGCCCCCCCTGACTGCTGGGACCCACCAGCTACATCTTCGCATGCAAGGAAGTGTATCCGAAAAGAAAACGATTCACCCCCCTGACTGCTGGGACCCACTAGCTACATCTTCGCAGGCAAGGAAGTGCCTGACAGTCGGGACCCACCTGGTCGAAGCGTACGTGGCGTTGTCATTCTGGTCGCAAACATGTACGTACATACTGGTCGATGTAGAGGCGCGCACGTGTCGTAGTAGAGGCGCGCACATAGCATGTACACGTATGTACAATGGCGAGGGTGCAAGAAAAAAAATACAGCCACGTACGTACATACGGGTAGGGTCTCGAACGCCTACTCGCGCAAACGTACATGGCTGGGTCGGAACGGAGAAACAGAGTCGTCGTCGTGTTCATGGGGAGGCAACAGAATGCGTCGTGTTCATGGGGAGGCAACGAAACGCGTCGTGTTCATCGGGAGGCAACGGAACGCGTGGGAGCCAACCGGCTTGGACAGAACATGCGATGGAAACGAGGCCTGGCGTACCGCACAACGGAGGAAACGGCCTTGTGTTCAACCGGCCACGTTTGGAATGGGGCCCTGTTGATCGGGAGGGGTGTGGTGTACCGCAAAACGAAGGAAACGGACCTTCTACGGTCGAAACGGGGGTCCTGTTGATCGGGAGGGGTGTGGCATACCGCAAAACGGAGGAAACAGACCTCCTACGGTCGAAACGGGGGTCCTGTTGATCGGGAGGGGTGTAGCGTACCGCAAAACGGATGAAACGGACTTGTGTTGAAGCGCTACGGTCGAAACGGGGGTCATGTTCATCGGGAGGGGTGTGGCGTACCGCAAAACGGGACTCCACGGGATACTATTCATCTCCACCGTCGACCTCCTCCAGCCTCCATGGGCCACCGTCGACCTCCTCAAGCCTCCACGGGCTCCTGTTCATCCAGCCTCCACCGTGCGCTACTCCACCGGCTACTGTTCAACCACCCCTCCACGGGCACCCCTCCACCATCTACTGTTCATCCAGCCCTCCACCACACCACGGGGTCCTGTTCAACCATCCCTCCACCATCTACTGTTCATCCAGCCCTCCACACCACGGGGTCCTATTCATCCAGAGGCAACGCCACCACTCACTGTTCATCCAACCCTCCCCCCCCTCGCAATGCTCACTGTTCATCCAATCGATCGACTTCAGTTAGCAGTAGTAGCGAAGGAATCGCTCCATCGGGTTCAGTTAACAGCCATCGATCGATCGCTCGGGTTCAGTAACGCGTAGCCTGCAATGCAATCGCTCGGGTTCAGTTAGAGCCCAACGCCTCGCACGGGTTCATTTAGAGCCAACGCCACACGCGTATGTGTACGAGAGAAACGCGCATCGCTCGGCCCTCGACCTCCCACCGTAACCGGTAACTCCCCAAAATTTTCCTCCCCCTCGCTTCTACCACGGTTTTTCTGTCATGGACGGCCCAAAGAATGTCATGCAGCTGCGTCTCTGGCCCGTCCATGATGAAAAGCCCATTTTCTGTCATGATTTTTTGTCATAGAAGTAGGAGCCCACCACATCTATGATGATACCGGGTTTTGTCACAATTATCGTCATAGAAGTGTCATATGTATGACAGGAAAAGTTTTCGTTCGGCCCAAAATGTCACGGATGTGTCTTTTTTTTGTAGTGGAGCCAAGTGCAAAGAAGATTTCAGAACCAAGGTTGTACAGGAGAGTCAGGTTTCGATCCCGTGGAACTATGGGTTATGGGCCCACCATGTGGATCAAAAAGTAGGAAGGGTGATGTCATCTTGCACAATCTTGGTAGAAAGGCATGTCTGACAACAACCTGTCAGTTATGTCGAGAACAACATCGATACCAAGGGCGAGGGACGAAGAGAACCATTTTCCTGCTCGTTAATACGAGGTGGACCAACAGGCAAAGTTCTCGTCCGTCGGTGGCTACCGGAATGTCATCAACAATAGTAACAGGGACTTACTGACAGAGTTGTACACCGAGGTGTTTACATAAGCAGTGAGTTATCACTACTCAGATATGTTAGTTTATAAGAAAGGTTAAACAAAACAATGGAATGGGAAAGTGTAGACTCGAATCAGTTATCGGTGTTCTTGAGTGTCTGAATACTCAGAACCCGTGGACAATTGGAATGGGCGAGAAATAATGGTTGATGAAGAACTCATAAGAGGTTATGTAGTTCCGTGATAATCTCGAGATACCAGAGGGTAATACTCGAGTGTATAGCAGAACAGAGGTTGGACGGGTGAAATGATCTGAAGGAGTCAAGTACTTCAACTTGTCCGAGAAATGGGATCAAAGAAGAACTATAGGGTCGGAACCACAGTTGCAAATGACCAAATATAGATACAAGATGAACTTATCACAAGGGGGTTATAATTATAACAAGAAGCTTCCATGATAAGTTCCACATCGGGTCCATGGGCATGAACACAAAGGTTCAAGGTCGGCTCCCACTTCTCTAATGCATAATCTTTCATTTACTTCTCGTCTTTGACAAAGTTGTAGAATTGAAAATTTATCCAAAGAAATGCCAGTCGATATAACCCGCATAATCTTCGGGTTCACACAGATTAGGGAATGCGTAGGCTCAACCCACTGCGGCATCTTAGGAACATATACCACAAACTTCACGAGTAAATAACTCAATCCTGGAAGTAAAGTATGCTTAACAAGAGCGGGGGATACAATTTACCAAAAGCATTATGTATCCGAGGAAAGGATCACAAGGTTACTGGATATGAAGGATGTTATCAGATAAAATCCACAAAGGATCTGGTGGTCCACAAGGGATCTGATGTGAGCAACGGTACTCAACCAGAAGAAGAAAGAATGCAAGGAGGTCAGATTATAGAAGCAATTGACTAATTCAGAGTTCAAATGCAAAGGAATTACGATTTCCAAAATCAAGGGTTTAGAAGCAAACGCTCTGACCAAGGATGGTTAAGTTGAATAGACTTAGGGCACAATCGATGGCAATCTGATTGGCCGTGAACCAGCTCATGTTCGGGAAGACGTCTGAGCCGGAAAGATAATCTATAAGGATCAACTGATGATTGCGACACAGACATATGAAATCGAAAGACTCAAGATGATAATGGCAAAGGACGTCAAGGGATACTGCTAGGCATATAGAATTAACCAGAGTGTAGGCAGGTAAGACCTTCTAGAGCAATAGGCGATACAGGTCATCGAAAGCTCGGATTGTATTAAAAAGTATCTTATGAAGCATAAGAATAACTGGGGATGAATGGATACTTGATAAGAGCGAGTAATTATCTGTAGGGGTATTCATGCAGCAAGGACTGCAGGGCAGTAAGCATAAAGGATCCTCGGAACATCGAAGAGTATTTCAGGACATCTTTTAATAACAAGAGCAACTGGGGATGAAGGTATGAACGACAATGTAGGCACTTACGCATAAGGATTTACCGGTGGTAGGGATTGCAACGGCGAAGGGCACAAGGGTCTTGAGAAAGCATCGGAGAGTATCTTCTGGTGAAGCGGGCCATCATCTGGAATGAAGGGGCTCTCCGGGAAAAGTATTTACAAGAACCTAGAGTTATAGTTTGCAAAAACCATTTAACACGAATGGAACAGAGATCAGATTCCCAGAGTATAGACGAGGAATAAAAGATCCTAATACCACCCAATTGGCGACGTGGGCCCATAAGCCACACAGCCATGTTAGTAAAACAATTTTTAAAAGACTAGACTCAACTTCGGCCAAGGAGTTGGAAAGGAGGATCCTACAGGAAGTCAGCTCCGATACCAACTTGTGATGCCCCTAATTCGACCGTACACTAATCATACACGCAAATGTGTACGATCAAGATCAGGGACTCACAGGAAGACATCACAACACAACTCTAGACACAAATCAAAATAATACAAGCTTTATATTACAAGCCATGGGGTCTCGAGGGCTCGAATACAAGCTCGATACACAAGAGTCAGCGGAAGCAACAATATCTGAGTACAGACATAAGTTAAACAAGGATGCCTTAAGAAGGCTAGCACAAAAGCAACACAATGGAAGAGGCAAGGCCTCCTGCCTGGGACCTCCTAACTACTCCTGGTCGTGGACGGCCTCCATGTAGTAGTATCCGTCAGCGGTGGCATCTGGCTCCAGGGATCCACCATCTGGTTGTAACAACTAGAAAGAAGAAAGAAGGGGGAAAAGGGGGAGCAAAGCAACCGTGAGTACTCATCCAAAGTACTCGCAAGCATCAGATCTATACCAAGTATGCATTGGTATCAAATGGAAGGTTTGTATCTGTGGACTGAACTGCAGAATGCCAGAATAGAGGAGGAAGGCCTAGCCTATTGAAGACTAGCGTCTTCAAGCAGCTCCGAGCATCTTGCAGCATGTA